ACCAGCCGTTTTTTCGATCTTGTATAACATAATCGAAATGTTTTTGAGTTTTTCGATCTCTGGAATGCCAAGTGGCTTGCTGAATTTTCTTATGCTGGAATGCAGTACTACAGACAACCATTTTCAGAATCTGGCGAAGTCCATCACCCTCAAACCATTCAAGAATATCTCGTTGTGAAGGCTGAGCTTTCCGACAGTTGATCCGAAGATCATGAGTTCGCTCCAGGAGCCCATAAATGGTATCCTTGGTCACATCGTCCTTCTATTTTGTGGCGAGACGTTAAACTACCGGAGTAAATGCTAATACTCGGCAACGGAATCTCTTTTCCTCCACAAAGCCAACACCAAATTTGCGCTAATCTATAAGGCCCTTGTATAAAACTTCACTTTCCTGTCATTGCCTCGTCAGCATTCTTGGACGGCAATGATATGGGGCTTCATTCTTCCAAAAAAATCAACCAGCTGGACAACTAGTTATCCGAAATACGAGACCGGACATTCCAGGCATTTTTATCATGCGATGGGTTCCAAACCGTGGGCACAACCGCAGGGTTGTCTATCATTAGCTCGCCTCTAAGTGGATGTTTTTTTGGCTATCGTTCTCTAGATAGGTCTAAGACCGAAAGCCATTTAAAAGGAATCATTTCTGACCACTTCGAAGTTAATGGCAGTCAAAAATCTTTCGTCACATGCTTGAACTTCACACATTTCCCCATCCTCTCTCTTTGACTTTTTATCAAACTTAGGGATCTTTTTGCACTTCGCTCTCACGTGGTTTTGTGGAGCAATCCTCTTGGGGTTCCTCTGTCACACGCTTACCTCTCACTTCCGTCATTCTCGTCTTCAAAACCTTGTAAAGTTTTTACTTACCACCCGTAATTATTGTTGATTGCTCGAATCAGCATCTGTGGTGCGCTAGAACCTGCTCCACCGCTGGCGCTTAACGTCGTGTGTTTGGTTACTGCAGGTAGGTCGCTGTAAGACTATGGAGGAAAGAAGCACTTCTACACGGATGGATTAAAGTTTGACGGAGGATCGGTGTGGTGAGGATCTTCTGTCGTGAGTTATCCATCGGCGGAAGGTTAATGGATCCAGAATATTTTTCAATAAAATTTAGATGTTAAAAAAAAATGGGATGCAATGGCTTACAATTAATCATTTAACTAATAGGGTATCACGCCTTGGCCGCACTCAAGGATAGCTATAAAATAAAATAAAGGGTAGAGCCACTCTAAAGGCCGAAAAATAGACTAATTTTTTTAAATTAATTGCAGGAATATGTGAAAATTAATGGAATTTCTACTTGACTATTTCGTTGAACATAGATTGAAGCATAAAAGAATATTCTTAAATTATTATTTTTTTACGAAATGGCATCCATGGGAAGACCGATGTCTTTTAAAGGATAACGCCTAGAACAGAAAAGCAAAAAGTTTTGTGATTTGCAAACTATTGTCTTTAGAAGTATGTACGGATTTATTTTTAAAAAAGCGGCGGATTTTTGACTAAAAATACTCACTAAATTATTAAAAAAAAATTACATTTAATCGAAAAACGGCTACGTACTTAAAAAAAAAAGATATTTGTGAAACTACCAAAAAAATTTTATGTAAAATAAGGTCCGAGTAATATGTCCTCCAGTTCGAAAAATGTGATTCTGAGAAAAACGAGTTTAAATTTTTCATTGTTCTCAGCGAGGGGCTACAGAAAAATAAATAGTTCATCTGTTTGAAATATTTTTTTCACCTTAAACCACTTGCATAACATTTCTAGGATCCACAAGTACCCATCATACTAGAAGAATTACCATGTGTTAGTGAAAATGGAAAGGGTGTTTTTTCGCTCCCGATAAATAATGTGCTAAATATATTTTAATATTTGAACACTGGATTAGTATTTTACTTAAGGATCTTAGGTCGATAAAATCATGGATTTGTGGTCGTAACTCATCAGACTCAAACTTGAACTTGTGGAACTGTACCTCAGCTAGCTTATATTTATAACTCTTTGATAACTCCACCTCTAGCGCTTAACAAATACTGTATGACGATCTCAAATTGAAGAAAAGTTATTTCTATTGTTAGTTGTAACTGATTACCTTCAGATTACAAACTAAGATGCACATATATAAGTACAACTTTAAAGCTGCTGAGGAGACTTTCAGCTACATTAACCGAGTGGGTAGTAATTTACATTGTCTTGCCCAAACAAAATTCGAAATAATAAAAAATTAATTCTAAATAATAAAAAATTAATTTTTATTTGCTTTTTTCAAATGATGGTAGCCCAAACTGTAAAACTTCATAAGCCTAGACTTGAAATAACATGTAAGTTGCTCCATTTATTGAATAATGCATTAAGGGGCACACCTATTGTGAAATTTCAAACAAAATCGATCTTTTTTCATATTTCGGTATATTACACCTTTAAAAATAACGTATTAAAATTTCAAATAGTTATAGCAATTTAAAGAGCAGCCACTCGGCTGCTAGAGAGTTTCATTAGCTACGAGTGAAAACGATCATTTTATCTTTAAACTCAATTTTCTCGAAACAGCATTTTCCAAGTTTGCTGCTCTTATCTGATCAAAAAATCGAATTTCGGCAGGCCAAAAACGACCAAAATTTTAGGTAAAATTCGACTATTTTTTTTTAAGCGCCGCCATATTGTCAACTTTTGATTTTTTATATCATATGTCAGACAATATTATCTTATTGAGAATTTTTTTTTTAGATTTCATCCACGGAGAAGGCCGGAATTACTGCAGCAGTGAATAACTTAAAAAATATTTAATTTTTTTCTTCAAAAATTTCACTGTATATTCTTGAAACATGTGTAAATATATTCCTAAAATTTTGAAATAATTGTATTTTTTTAATAAAAATTCGCAAAAATCACCTTTTTTTAGGCCATTGCACTAGGTGTGCCCCTTAAGTCGTACACATAAACTGGAAGATTAGTCCGGCCAAAATGTAAAACCATATTCAGTCAAAATTCTACGCAAAGTAACACTAGCGTAAATATTTCTTGCAGATCAGATCAGGCTTAATGACGGAAATGGGCGCTGTTCTGTCAAATTGGAGCTTGCTTGTGGACAAGTGCGGTCGCAAGATGTTTCTGGCTGGATCGTGAAACGTAAAGAAAGTTCCTTTCTATTCTAAGCTAAAAACTGTTGTACTTAGCAGGAATTCCTAACGAAACATTTTCCGTTGGAAACTCAAGCTATAAGACTTAGATTTTTGCGGATCAGCATAGTCGTTTGTTTGAAAGTCGAGATGGAATCATCTATATATAACCAACTTGAATAAGTTAACAGACACTGACATCAGGCGGAATTGTAAAAATGTGGCATGTACATGATAGACGGTCTAATGTTCAAGCTACTTGTAGTCTTTTTTTGGTATTCCAGTCGACATACCCTATGAGTCTACTTAGTATTGCCTTGAATTTTCGTCCTCAAATCCATATGAAAACTGAAGTACCAAAAGTCAGTCGTTAAAAAATTGGTATATTCCAGAATACAGGTTGAATAAAATAATTTTTAAAAAGAGTTAAGAAACTTCTTTACATCAAATAAGCGTGATGTTATTTCGAAAGATCTAAATGGTAAGTTGTAAGTACTTAGAAAATTTTAACACGACACATATAAAGTGAACTTGAAATGGTTATACTGGTCATAATGGAATCCAGCTTATTTATTTATCTTCAGGGCATCTTATTTTAACTGACTTCCAACCCATTCTTTTAAAAAAAAAGTACAGACAATTGAACATTAACTCAGAGGTATTTTTGTAACTCTTTTACTTTTTTTCTTTGAAACCAAATTAGCACGACTTGCGTGACGTTGAGTTTTAGCTTGATCTGTGGTTAATTTTTTATTTTTTTTCGAGCCTATAGCACTATTTTTATTTATTTAATAATAAAAACAAAGCATTAGTACAATAAGATTTCTATATCTTTTTTAGTACAACAGAGATAGTGTGAAGAATAAGTAAATATTACTTTACAGATACATTAACAAAAATAATAATAATATATAATGAGCTGAGTATGACAAAAGCTTAAACAATTATTAAATGGTCAGTCTATGTTTGAAATTTGGCCTTTAAAATGCATATATATGTGGTTCTTGACATTGCTTCTGTTTAATTTCCTCCTTAAATTAGCAGGAACAGAGTTCCATAATCGACTAGCATTGACAAAGAACAGCCTTGATGATTGCTGTGATTTATGAAAAGGTATTATTATATTACCTACTCTGGCTGACCGAGTAAACGATAACTTGGAAAAAAGATAACTAGGAGATTGAGTCATAATGAGTTTGCAAAGAAAAATACAATTTCTGGCTTTATAATAGTAAGCAATCGTACATCCTAATATCTGACATGAGTGTGACATTATTAAACATAACGTCGATTTTACGAGCAGAGAAACTGTCATGTTTGTTGTATACGACTTCAGAGTACATGATGGCCGGAAGAATAATTTGTATAGCAAGTCGGCGTCTGGTAGCAGTGGGGGTATAGATAGCTGACTGCCTAAGATTCCTCAGAATGAGATAAACCTTACTAAAAATTAGTGTACAGGAACAACTTTATCAACACACTTACATATAACTGGTACAATGCATTCAAAAGCGGCCGAAATGTGGTGGAAAGTTTGTCCTTCTCTGATCGATATTTAACTGGAGTAAACACTGCTAAGCCAAAAAAAATTGAGATCGTCATTTAAGTACAGACGACGAACTGTCTGGTTCTCCCGAATGAATTTGCAACATTTAAATCTTGAAAGTTAAGTGGACGCCGCTCGACTAGTTCAAAAACACAATTGCAAGCAGGACTGCATCGTAACGATAAATTTTAGGTAAGGGTTCCAAGCTCAAACTCATCACCTCCAGCATACCCAGTTTGACGGTTGTACTCGGATGGGCATCAACAGAAAACACACACTGTTATAAGAGTGGGACTTGTAAATATAATATTTATGTAAAAATATCTTACCTTTTGATAGGTTGTTATGGCGGCAGATGCTGCTTGTCGTAGAGTTGGTACATTCCGCCTAATTTTCTTTAAATTCCCTGGGAGCTCTCTAGCCGTACCTTTAGGTGTAAATTTGGGGAAATAACGAAACTGCGGAATCTCAGTACTAGAACAAGCGGCAGGTGGTGCTGACACACAGTTACTCGGCGCAGGATGTTGCATGTGCGGACAAGTGTGCGCAGAAGCAGATTGAGTCATTTGAGTAGGTGCTACAGGAGGTGGCACTGATGTGTTTATAGAAGGCACCACTCCGCCCGACATTAGCGGAGCACCGCTAAGTGTGGCACTTTGAATGGCTGGTGCTGCCACGGTGGGCACCTGCATTATGCCTGGAACCTGATAACTAATAGGTAAAAAAACCATTTGATTGCTCATTGAGGCATTCGTTGTTGTTGTCAACGCTGGACATATATTCGTTGTTAACATTGATGCGTTCGTTGTGACCGGCGCGCTTGAAATGCCAGCAGAAAGATTGTCACAAAACCAACTTGTGGCTGAGTAATGCGGTGTTTGGTTTGAGCTGGCCGTTACCGTGGCCGTTGTCGTGGGTGCAGTTGCTGTATTGTTGCCAGGCATAATTGTATTTAATGACAACTGTGCCGTTAAACTTGCTGGAGGTTGTGGTGGTGCTGGGGGCGGTGGAACGCTGAACGTAGTGGGCATTGTAAGGAGCGTTGTTGGCATTGCCATCGCGTTAGATGTTGTGACCGTACAGTGTCCACCATAGCAGCTATTGGTGGAATTGGATGGCGCAAGCGCAGCAAGGCAATTGATCGTTTGAAAAGATGGAATTTGTTGATGAATGTGTTGCTGTTGCTGGTGCTGTTGCTGTGGTTGTAGCTGAAGCGGTTGAAATTGTTGTGGGTGGAGCTGAGGTTGTTGTTGTGGATGTGGTTGTTGCTGTTGTTGTTGTTGCAACTGTAGCTGAGGTTGTTGTTGTTGCTGTAGTTGTTGTTGATGTTGTTGGCACTGGGTCAGCTGCTGCTGTTTCTCTTTACATTGCGCACATAATGTTTCTTTACTTGTTGCGGTGGCGTTGCAGCTTTGCGCAACCGGCTGAACGTACGGCGCACTCCTCGCCACTGCTGGAGGCTTTGGCGCCTTTGGTCCATGCCAGCATTGCACGGCGCAGGGCACTAAGCCGACTAGGCGCATTCCACCTAAATGGCTTGCTTCGTTAAGATTTGATGTCGCTATTTTGAAGCCGTTAACAGCAGCAGTTCTCTGCAATAGCAAAAATTAAAAAACGCAAGAAATAGTATTAGTCTTATTAAAGGCTTTTTGTTATAAATTAAATGTATTAGGGAGGGTTATGTGAAGAAGCGCGGCCGCGGTAGCCGAACGTTACTGTCATTCGGAAGGCTCTAGTTCAAAACCTGGTATCCTACTAGTATCCAAAAGTTATAGACAATTATTTTAATGAAAAGCTAAGGTAAGTTTTTATAGTTGCTGTCACCCCTCGGCATTGAATTTCAACCCCTCCGAGTGTATTCCTGACATGAATTAAAGCTTCTCATAAAAAACCCATCACCGTTCGGAGGCGTCTTAGTATAAAATGTAGGTCCTCTTTGTTAAAAAATATCAAGAAGTAAAACCACAAATTGAGGTAGGAGCTCAGGCGAAAATCGCTTCAGCGGTTAAAATGTACCAAAGATAAATACCTTAAGGCTAAACAGTTTCCGGAAATATTAAATTTGAAGAAAATGATTAATCTTCACAAATATTCATTTTGTCGCCTTCAAAATATGCTGCTTCTGAAGCGATACACATATGCCCACTTTTTTCGAATCGTGTTTTACGGCCTCAATCGGGGGTTCCACGGAGTGGTAACTTGAGATTTGTCAACAAAAGAAAAGTTGCATGGGGCCAAATCCGGTGAATACGATGGTTGATCGATGGTATTGAACGAACGCCTCAAAACGCACAAATAATACGTTATATTGATGGTATGTCCTGTTAGAACGAATTCATAATGAACCCAACCGCGATAACCGAATAAACGATATCCGGACACTTGTTGGTCCTAATGTGTATAATCTCTGGTCTTGACGATGTCAATTGGAATTTTTTTGTGGAGCAAAGCAGAATACCGAGTTTATTCATTTAACTCTTGAATACTGGAGAACAAACGTTTGCAAAAGGTGGTAGAGAATCACCATGTGACGCCAAAGATCAATCTTTACAATGTAAATAAGTTTATTTAAAATGCATTTTATTTGTGTTTACGCGAGGAGCGTAAATCATTGCATAGCTTTGTACGCTGGCTAATTGCTTCCTGGAATGGTTTTTATTTTATGTAATACGCTCGAATAGGTTGACATTCCTTGCCGAGGGGCGAGCGCAACTAACAAATTTAACTTAATTTTTTATTAGAACAAATTTCTATAATTTTTGGACGTTGATCGGATTCGACCTTTGATCTTCCGATTGGCAGTACGCAATGCGAATCACTCGGCTATTGCAACCACCTGAGATTACTTGAGTACGATAATCTCATTTTAAGGCACGAAATGTGGTCACGTTTGAATACAACTTTTGTTGTAGATTTTAACAATTTTAACGCATTGTTCATTATATATATATATATATATATATATATATATATATATATATATATATATATATATATATATATTTTTATACGAAAATTTTGGTTAATTCAAAAAAATTAACAGCGAAGAGCAGGATATCAAATACATATACACTAATACACTATCATAACTCCTATAACATCCAAAGTGCAAAAAGAAGTTGAGGGCTAAAATTCAAAAAATTTTTTTCAAATCAAAATATTTTCGAACCTTTAGTTTTTGATTTTATAGTGCGTGTATAAATTATTTCGGTCTATTTGATTTTTATCACAAAGAAAATAAAAATACATTATTTATAGTATTTTCCATTGAAGCGAAAACTTTTTCTCGTCGCTCCCGTAAATGAGTCCTCTCTGTCCTCGATCCAATCATTCCAACATTTTAGCCATGAAAAGTCAGTAATAGGAAGTAGGTCGGGAGAACACGAATGATGGTATCAGTCCTCCCGTTTCAGCATTTTCGGGTTATGTATTCACCATTACAGCTAAGTGGTGCCGAGCGTTGTCATGCTGCCAAACTACGTTGTCATGCCTTTTGGTTGCTTCTAACCAGTTTTCCATCAACGCACATCTCCAGCGCTGAAGTCGATAACGATTCGAAACTTTGGCTTCTCCTGGTTTGCATGAATTTTTATTCAATAAAACCGCCAAATAATTAACTTCAAATTTAAATGCATTCAACCTTTTTTGATTGGTCGTAACCACCTTAACTTATCGAACAGCGCATATTCACCTAAAACTTCCACACACCATTTGGTGGGCTTCAGCTACACTTTTTTCCAATTGAAATAGAAGATCAAACCTTTACGAAAATAAACAGTATTTTTTCAACACAATTCCGGACATTTACAAAAAAAAGACACTGGTGTCTATTATTGACAGATGTAAACCCTTTCCCGAAAGTTTGTTATCGCTTTTGAGATTATTCACTTAACTGTGGTCTTGAAACCATAAACTACCAAGCCGAAGTAACGAATCTCAATCCTGGCAATTTCAAAATCCTAAATTATTGAAAAACGGCATTTTTCTGACTTGAAATTAAAACCCCATAAAAAAATACGCCATTCAAGGGAGCTTAGAATTAATATTTAGTTCTTCATCAGGAGCTGCATGAAATAATAAGTTGAGTAGAATTATACGCACTTTCAAGTTCAAGGGTGCCGTATATACGTGCTTAGAACCCTCGTCTTTCAGATAGCTCAAGTTAATAATAAATCTGCATTGACTCTTCTTCAACTATTTTTATTTGGAAAGCTGCTTTATTTTGTATAAATCAGACCAGATATTGGACTGCAGCAAGTGAGCTTTGCAGATATAAAAGACATTATTTTGATATCTTAATATTGGGGCTAACAGATGCTTCGGCTACATTTGAGAGTCAATATATTCGTATCAATTTGTGTAAGCGAAATATTTGCTATCTCTTGCTGTTGTGCTTGTTTTCTACGTTTCACTGTTAAAAGATTCAGTGGCGAAGTGAGTTCATTGAAAAGTTTACCAAGAAACAAGAAACCAATTTTTCAGTTGAGTGAATTTTAATTTAAAGTACCTACGACGACAATGTGTCCTGAATGCAAACATACACATGCGCAGCTAACTTAAATACACTTGCCGTCACCACAAGAACCTATAAACAAACAAACAAACAAAACAAAAGAAAAAATAAAAATCATACAGGAGTCTTTAAAAACTGATTCCACTTAACTGGAAAGCAACAACTACAATAACAACAGCATAACAGTGAATGCGAAGAAGAAGAGAAAATGCAGGAAAGATACATTGAGAAGCATTCATTGGCAACGCAATTCGTCGTGCAACAACGAGCAACATTTCATGACAAGCAACAGACGGCATTTAAACGAGTATGTACGGGTATGAGCGACAAGCGTGGAAGTAACTGTAAACACAAAAACAACAATCCACGCAAACAACTATGAAATTAACAACAACAATGGCAACAACAACAGCAACAGCAAGAGTAACCGCTCAACAACTAGCCGCAATGCAATTGTAAAACATTGGTTGAAACAATTCGTCGGCAATTTCGAGTAGATTTCAGCTTGTTTTGAGGCTTGTTGCAAATTGCAGCAAACTACCTCCCACTGCCCCTCCTACTGACACACTCCACCATTCCACCATTTCACCAACCCACCGCTCCACCACTCTCTATGGCAAATCAAATTGCCTTCACTATAACGTCTGTACTGCTGCAGAGTATATTTATTCACATACGTTCGTATGTATGTACATATATGTATATGTATGTATGTGTAGTTACAACGCAACAAGCGGGCGTGTAAGTATATTGAACAACAAACAAAACACAAATGGAAACTTTGGTAAACAAAAGTTAGTGAATCTGTTGGTAAAGAATAAAGCAGCCGTGGGAGGGGCTTCAAGCGAGGGCACTCTGTTGACGTGAACAATAAAAAACGTACGTATGTGCGTATGTGAAAGTACATATATCAGCGGCGGCACAACGGATTCCCGATAGGCTGTTTCAAAATTTTTACCACATTCTCTATTGTTTGTTTGGTAAACTCATACGACATTTTAGTCTACTATTTTCCAGAGTAGGTCCAAGGGGAGTGTTGTTACAATAGTGAGTAGTTACTATATATGTTTACATAAAAAAAAAAGTTTGTGAAAAATGTTTATTTAGATAATTGAGCAGCAGACAAATTTAACGCGAATATAAAAATTAAATTCGGCAGCCAAGTACGTGGAAAATACTTAAACAGCGAATAAATTTAAAAGTTTCATAAATTGGAACATGGTCAAAGCCATGCTGAGTTTGTTTTTATTTAATTTTTTTTTTGTTATTATTATTATTATTATTTTTTTCTTAAATTTTAAACTTTGCATGAATATCACTTCGAAACTGATGAGGTAAGTAAAACATTTACGTTTAATACATTATTCGTGGCTTCACTGTGGAGGAGGTCTAAATGTCTTTTAGTGCAGGATTGTGTGACTATTCTAGAAATTAATACGTTTTAAAGCACTGAGTCCTTTTGCAATTTGTCCACTATTCAAACCGTCGAGAAGGTTATAAACGAGACTAAATTCTTCACTCTTCACGTTTTTTCCCTACGATAATCATTGTCTGGTAAGCATTGCGTACTGACACTCGGAAGGCACGGGTTTATATCTCGGTGCCACCAACATCCAAAAGTTATGGAAAATTAATCTAAAATAATAATTAAGTAAAATTTTCTAATTGCGGTTGCCCCCCGAGAGGGAGTGTCCATGCCTACAGTGTATTTCGGTCATGAAATGAAGCTGCTCA